GCACTTGTATACTGTTGCTTTTTTAATTCTAGTGTAAAAATAGGACAAGCTGAATATATTGATAGATAGTAGAAATACACCGAAGGGAGGAGCAGAGGGATAGAAGAAAGAAGGGTAGAGAGGGTGGGAGAGAGGATCGGAGGGAGGGTGAGATGGAAGGGAGGGAGTGTATTGGGAGAGAGGAGTGATAGAGGGGGAGGGGAAGTAGGGTAGAGGGGAATGTTGGAGGGGAGAAAGGAAAGTTGGAGGGGGGTGAAAGGAAGGGTGTATGGAGGGTTGAAGTGGTATATTGGGTTTGTATTTTGGGGAGTATTGTTGACAAGGATGGCTGTGTTTATTGCTCAATGTTATATGGCCCCGGTTATGCACAGTATATATGTGACTGTATGAAATGAAAATGAAAATAAAACATATTGAAAACATAACATTTATATGCCGCCCAATCCCGTAGGACTCCGGGCGGCTAAGGAGGGAGGGAAGAGGATGAAGAGGAGGCAGCAGGAGGAGAAAAATGACCGTGGAGCGTGGTTGTTTCCTTGCAGACGTTTCACTACTCAACTAGGTAACATCATCAGTGCTAGAAGGAAGAGGGGTTTGTGGGGAGAGGGAGGGGGAAGAGGCAAGAGGGAGGGGAGGAGAAAGGGAGAACAGGTGAGAAGGAGGCAGGGGGAGGTGAGGAGGACACAATAGGTGGTGAGGGGGGAAAGGGGGAGGGAGAGGTGAGTAGGAGGGAGGGATTGTGGGGTCTCTGGTGGTCTCTGTGGCTGGTTGTTTTCTTCCAGAGGTTGAGCAAAGCTACAGCATAGTAAACGGATTCTCTGGCTGGATGTAGATTTTATTCCATTTTGAATGATAGTTTTAGGGCTGCCGCATCCTTCCTGCTTCCGCTGGTTGGGGTCTGCCCAGAATAACTGCAGGTGGATGAATCGGATGAAGCCAAAACAGCAGAGGAAGCACAGACACCCCTCACCCCCCACCCCAATCCCGGCCTCTTTCTGCCTGCCAGGCTCCACCCTGGGATCTCCTGGTGGTCTCCCCTCCCAGCCCTGCCTCGTTTCCTGCCCAGCCAAAGTGGGTGGGTGGGGGGAGGTTTGTCAGGCGGAGGGGAGGGGGCTCTCCTGCACCGCCGCCTTCGCCTGTCAGCTGGACTACGTAACCCTCCCCCAGCCCCCCTCCCTGGCTGAGGGCGATGGGAGTTGTAGTCCCACACCTCGTGGGTGGGTGAATGCCCCCCGCCGGGCCCCCTTCCCCCTTCCCTCGCCGGACTCACCTCTCCGCCGCCTCCTCCTTCCCTCGTCGACCCGTCTCCCCCGGCGGCCCCACCGGCTGCGGCCCCGCTACGACCCCCCCACCACTCACTTGCCTCGAACCCGGAAGAGAGAGAGAGAGAGAGAGAGAGAGAGGAAGTAAACAGGAAAAGGCGGAGCCCCCTGACCATAGAGGCCTCCAGAGCGTCCCTTCCACCAGCCGGAGGCGGGATTTCCGGCGCGCGTGAGCTGCACCGCCCCGCCCCCCTCGGCTGAGCACGTGATCCTCAGGTGGGGAGAAGAGGAGGGAGGGGGAAGGAGGGAGGCAGAGGAAGACAGAGGATGGATGGATGGAGAGAGAGAGAGAGAGAGAAACAGAGATAGCTACCAAGATATTGATGGATTAATGGATGGACGTAAAGGGATAGATAATAAAGCTACATAAAGGATATAGGCGATAAATAGAATGAACCCATGAACGAGAGAGAGAGAAATAGTGGGTAGGTACAGTAAGTAGTAGATAGATGGTTGACAGAAAGATGGTGGATGGATGGATGCATAGATAGATAGAGAGATGGATGTAGATAGATAGATAGATAGATAGATAGATAGATAGATAGATAGATAGATAGATAGATAGATAGATAGATAGATAGATAGATAGATA